TTTTCAAATTAGATTTGCGATAAAAAAGTTATTTTATTTTATCTCATTCACTGTATATATATACCCAAAAAATCTATACAATTATATGTATTATAAATACATTTCTCATGTAAACAAGAATATTCTGAGTAATAGTAATGAAAACACTATTATTATTATTATTCCCTAAAAACATATCACAAAATGGATGTATAGACAAACATATCACACAAATATATACTCACAGAATATTCCCATAAAAATACATAATATATTCTGTAGCCAAAAAAAAATATATGAAAATTTATTAAAAATAATATTTTTCAATTCGCAAAAATGAATTATTATTTAATAATTAAATACCTCATAATATGCTATTTTTTGTATGTGTCTCATATTGCTAATAGTGTATGAAATCTAATTATTTATAATGTTATCTCTATGTGTGAAATAAGTTATGATAGTTTGCGTCATTCACGCGATTCTGTTATTTTTCAGTGCATATATAGACTCCTATTCTATATAATGAGATGTTTTTCTACAGAATTTTATTTTGTATTTATTTTATTTTATATCGATTTTCTCGTTTACGAAATATATTTTCCGAGAATTGTTTTTATCGACGATTTTTGGTGATAGGGATTGAGAGAGAGAGAGAGAGAGAGAGAGAGAGACTGTTATTGAGTTGATTGCGATAGAAATCAATAAAATTAGGGTTTATATGATTTCTATTGTGAAATATAGTTTCATACATTCAATCCATGTATTTATAGCTCAATTATAATTAGCAACAAAATGCATATTAATAGCGCATATAAATCACAAAAATAATATATATTTAAAAAATCTATAATTGACTTGTTTTTGAGTGCAGTTAACATCACATAACAAAACCTAATGCACAGAATATTCTGTGTAATCCAGAATCGAGTGGAATATTTTGACCCAAATTTATAGCTAATGTTTACGACTAGAGAGACACAAAAAATCGATTTCAAAGTCACTCTCAAAACCTCACAAAACTTTCCACTAATTTAGGTCTATCTATGTGTGTATGAGCCCTACCTATTTGGACGGCCATGTCTTGACAGATATCCTCATACATCCCTTTCCCTTTCACTACCAAAAATTATTAGACATAGCAAACATTATATAACTATCGTTATAACCTTAAAGGCTAATGTAGGCGCTGTTGCTATCGGTGCTCACTGTATGTTTATATTATATACAAAAGGGAAAGTGCTATTGACTTATATTCTAGTTTATGTGCAAAATTAATCGCTCATTAATAGGGACAGGGCATAAAAAACAATGAGATAATTAGGATAATGCATAAAATATTCAGAATATTTTTTAGGTGTAATTTAGACCTATTTTTTGTGTGCAATACTACAAAATACTGGTTCAAACCGCATCTATAAACAGCCGTACCTCCCAATCCTTTTGCCAACTTATATGTATAATATATATATTATATAATGTGTGCGAGATTTTGCGCAAATACTAGTCAACCCAAACCCTATGGCTATACTTCCTTAAGTCTGTCGCGAATGCAATATATTTGTGTGTTTTTGATGCCTAATCTGATTGTACGGTATATTACAGTACAGTATAGCCGTATATGACTGATGTATATGTATGTAGTGTTGAGAATGGTTTTGCATAACATTTCCTGTTATTCAATAATCTATTAATAATTTTTTTGTGTTAAACATAATCTATAAAAGTGTTATGCAATCTGGTTATACATTGATAATCTTAGGATCATGTCTGAGAATAATATCAAATATATTATTTATTGTACAATAAGTGTGCAGGTTTATATAGGGTTATACCAATAGGTTACTAGTCCTGGATATTGTATGGGGGTAGGCATTTTCTAGGGGGACTGGAGCTTACTGAGTCAGTAATACTGACCATGTATATCTAATGCATTAAATGTAGATAGGCATATAATTTATTTGTACAATATTTTATAATAAATAAATTCCATAATAGTCACACAAAAATAAACAAATAAAAGGTATTTTATATAATAGTGTAAAATAATATTGTTAATGCATTAAATGTAGATAGGCATATAATTTATTTGTACAATATTTTATAATAAATAAATTCCATAATAGTCACACAAAAATAAACAAATAAAAGGTATTTTATATAATAGTGTAAAATAATATTGTTTATATTGAGTAAGGGATGTGTATATTGGGAAGCCACCAAATCATTTTATTAGGTCCATTTTGGCCTGACCCGGACTTACATTATTTATTAACAATAGGAACAATATCAATAAAATACTATTACTTTAGTTAAATATAAACTAAAAATAACATAACATATCGTAATTTAATGTGTATTTTACTAGCTAGTATAATTTATGAATAAAATGATTTAATAAAAAAACTCTTAAATCTATATATTTATGGTTTATATGAAGATATTTACTGTCGATTTAAATACAAGACAAAGGATGGTATGCTAGGGTCAAAGGTCATCGGGATTTATATATCAATATCATCGGCGTATATATAACATTGAAAAGGCTTTTGTTATGATAATTGATTTTTTTGATGATTATATTACGATATAATAACATCCAGTAATAGTCATAAATAATAGGCATAAACGAGATATAAATTTATAGTAAATATGTTTGTTTTAAAAATATTATTTGCATTTTATATTTGATTCAAATGTAGTTATGAAGTCCAAAGTATAATTAATATTATATTCATATATATTTTATATTATATACAAATAGACATTTTTATTGATAAAAATATTGTGCAATTGTATTATAAATTGATTTTTATATCATTTATTTTCTGATGTAATTTCATATCATTATTGATAAGAAATTTTCCGAAAAACAACAATTATTTGGTTCTCTGTTTTCAATCAACTTCACAAAAATCGGAAGTAATTTGAAGACCAAGATAATATAATAACATGTATTAATTATAGTGATCATAGTAATTAAAATTAAAAATATTTACATTTTTATTGTGAAACTCAAAGTATTTAAACCGAGAATAAAATGTATGAAGACTTCAGTCAAACAAAAACATCGATAACTTAAAAAGTGTGACAAAAAAGTGCATCAAAAATAACTTTTATTTTTAAATTACCTGTGTGCAATCTCATTAATTAACTAATTTTCTAATACTATATATTAATCTCATAATTATATATACTTTTAAGTCATATATTAATTGATTTTTAATTGTTTCGGATAATAATCAGCAATAATAACGACCCGCTTATAAGAGATGCCGCTATTAAACGAGAAAACCGTATCCGATATACTACTGGCCCAACACCAGCACCAGCAGCTCCAGAATCAGATACCTGACCAGTCGGACCTGGATGCCACGCATAGTATGCTTACCAAACCTACCGGTGCCGTGGATGTTGAGAAAAATGGCTCCAAGTTTGCTATGGAAATGCCTAAATCCCTGGCCG